TTATTTGCAATAACCTCAGTTGTAAGAGCTCCGTTGGCTATATTTGTGTCCACGTTTGCACTTTCTTTTCTTAAAGTTTTAAGAGAAGCTACTTTTGTTTGATGAGTGATTTTCATTTAATAACTACAATATTAATAATAAGGATAAAATAAATAAATATTTTACATGTATTTGTTATTGGCTGTGGGTTATTGGTTATGTTCACATACTTATTTGGTTATTAAAATGTAAACCGATCTTTTTCATATGGGTGTTGTACCTCCTATCAGGTCTCTAGTAATTGTGTGCTGAAAGTGCACCAGATTGAAGCATTTTACTTTAAAATGTTAAAAAAACATTTAGCAGGATGTGACATTCACCCCCCAATTAAAACATGTTCATACAATAATGAATACATTTGAAACCTTTATGTATATTACCTATGTCAATAAGTTTCTTTTTTTGTAGTGTATTGGTCTTTTGTAGAGATCTTTTATTTATTCTTTATATATTCTAGTGTATTGCTTGGAGGGGGGGGGCACCAAATCATAATCTCGCCTAGGGCACCAAAATGTCTAGGGCCGGCCCTGACTACGGGAAATGATAATGCTAAACTAGTGACCCCGCTGTGATTCTGAGTAGCTTAATAAATAATGTGTCTAATGAAGCCCACCTGGTATGTTGTTTCTTCCTTATTTTTAACTGTTCGACTGCGACTTTAGAGTAAATAATAAACATTGTGTATTGTGTAAACACATACAGAATTACACCAAATAATTTTATTTGATATATTTCTTATGAATTTATTTTTCCTGTCGCTAAAGGCTGCTTCTGCGCCCACATCATTAAGACATCAGACAACACACCAATTACTGCATGAGGGAAATTAAGTAGTGCCATATGTTATCCGTGAGAAACAAACTCATTTGCAAACTAATTAGTGGGATATGTTGTCAGAGAAGGACAATTATTAAAAAATAGGGCATTTATGGACGCTGCGTCGGGATCATTGCACGACCAGTGTGCTGCATTATGAATATGTTGTGTGTCCTTTACAGTTTTTGGTAAAAAGCTGAGATGATGTGATGTTTGTTCGGTCATGCCTGCCACTGTGAGGGTTATCTGAACACAACGAATTACAGATGTAAAGAGAAAGAGAACACGATGTTTGCTTATTAAATATGAAACAGCCTCCTTGTGCCAACAGCTCCCCAGGATGTATTTTAATGTTCTGTTATGCTGTGTGCTCATGCAGAGAGAAAGGGAGAGAAAGTTAGAGAAAGATAGAGAAAGATAGAGAAAGGTAGAGAAAGTTAGAGAAAGTTAGAGAAAGGGAGAGAAAGATAGAGAAAGTTAGAGAAAGGGAGAGAAAGTTAGAGAAAGATAGAGAAAGATAGAGAAAGGGAGAGAAAGATAGAGAAAGTTAGAGAAGGGAGAGAAAGGGAGAGAAATATAAAGAAAGGGAGAGAAAGTTAGAGAAAGGAGAGAAAAAGGGAGAGAAAGGGAGAGAAAGTTAGAGAAAGGGAGAGAAAGGGAGAGA